TATATATCTCAGCTACTGTATAATCACATCCAGCAGGGTTTACTGTTATAGTTCTTCCTGTAGGGTATCTATATCTATCCTAGTATTTATCCTCAAATTAGTAGTAAATTATATAGATAATTCTTCTGTCGCTTCTCGTACCTAGGAATATTCTCTTCTGGGGCTTTTTGCTTTAGGGTTGAATCGGTATTAAGTCGATTATAATCCAGAGGTACGCTCCTTATATGCCTAGGACCTCTAGGACTTTTTGCTTTATTGTTGAATCAGTATCAAATAGATAGCGATTCAGGGGTACGCTCTTTATATGCCTAGAACCTCTAGGACTTTCGCGGGTATTTTTTACGATTACTGATCAAATCAGAAGATTATTGTATATAAAGGGCTATAGCAATAACTGTTTAATTAGGGCTAGGCCTGTATGCTGTTTACAATAATCTTGAAGAAGAGTTATCTATGTGGCTTCCACCTTGTTTTCCTGCAGGGAAAAGGTCACGTGACGCCACGTGATATATCCCCGGGCCTGGGCCCGTTACAGTTGCATCGGTAGCTATATTTTGATATAGGGTTTCCCTAGTTAAGATGACAGCTGTTGGTATAGTACGGCCGGATGCTGATTCTATATATCCTGACCGGTGAAAATAATAAAATTTTTATATACCTGTAATAGCAGAATCAGACGAACATACTAATTCTACTATAACCACTACCACTAAGCCTCTCTTAATAGAGGAGATCACTGAGGGGGCCTATAAGGCTCTTAAATATATCTGATAGAATAAGCTAAACTTTTTCTTAGACTAGTTTATTATCGGCTTTATTATCTCTATTAAGTAATTTGCTATTAGTACCCAGTAGGGTACTAATAACCCTGCTATCCTAAAGATATAGTAAGTAATTAAGAAGATTATAGCTGTTACTAAGGGAATAAGCTCTAAGATCACCAAAATTAAATCTACTATATTCTTCTCCTCCTTCTCCTCCTCTCTATCATACCTATATAGGTAGCCGGGTTCTGGGGTATTTATAACTGGGATATCTCTAAGGCCTCCCTCCCCTTATATCAAATATACTCTGCTATATTATCCTCCCCTGGGGTCAGCGAGATTAAGCTCTATAAGGACTAGAAGCTTACTATTAAGGTCTATAATAAAGCCTAAAAGGTAAAGAAATACCCTCTACCTAAGATTATTAAGCTAGCGAATCTGGAATATAAGAAGGTAGCTAAGAAAGGTAATATTATATCCCTAGGGGGGCTTAGTATATTTTACTATAGCCCGGAGACTACCCTTAGGTAATATTGTTATAGAAGTTAATACTGTAGCTATAGCAGATATTCTTTAATAATATAATGGGTATACTAGATAGCTAGCGGCGTTTAGTAAGGGTACTATAGTATAGATACTAATATAGGGTATTATAGTATATAGGGTATCTATAGCTAGCCTCTTATTAAAACCAGAGATACTAGATAATATAGTAAGGCTATTAAAGATCTAGAATAATTATACCTAGGGGAAAGATACTAAGATTAAGTATATTAGGTAGTTAATTTGGCTAGAAGCAGATAGTATTAATTATTAGAAAAGGATAGCGATAGTTATTCTGAATATATAGCAATAGCCTATTGAGCCTAATGGAACCTCATGGAACCTGATCGATAGTGGCAAACTATCTGGATGCTGTGGCAACTCTGGCCATCTGCCACCTACATAATTGACTCTGCCACCTACATAATTGACTATGGTGCTAACTATGGCAACCTATATAATCAATTACCATTCGATGCTAATCATGATTAATACATTACGACGACTTATTGTCGTGTGACCATTATAATTACTAATAATGGTGGCCTGAGGCCTGCTAAACCTCAGGGATAAATAGCATCTCAATCTCCTGCAATCCTAATATCATACACATCCATGCAATACATCAATCATCCTATCTATTATCAACCAACAGCTTCTTATTGGATCATCTGATCTACCATTACTTCCCTGAGCCTAGTAAGACGTATAGTCTTATATATCCTACTATAAAATATCTATAGACTAGATTAGGGTTAACAGCTATATTAACCCTATCTATCTCAAAAAATATTTATAGTAACTAATAACTAGTAAACATTATAAATAATATATAATCTGCTATTAGAGAATAATTTAGATTTATAGAAGTAATATATAAGGTTTAAGTAAGTAATATAGGGCCCTAGGTCTTTTTTAAAAAGATAGAATAAATTATTTTATACTCAATATAGTATATCTATATATATTACGTCTATCCTTTATTTATACTACTCTATACTATAATAAAAAGCACCTTATATAACGTATAAATTAAAGAGATATCTGTTAAAGTATTAAATTACTAATTTCTTTATTAAAAAGCGATTCGTTATATATATTTTTAGTAATCTTTAAGGTGCTTTAAATACTAGGTATAGTATATTAGTGTTGGTATATTAGGGCAGGGTTTATATAGGTCTAGTAAGCCAATCAGAAGCCTCAATATGCTTAGTAAACCTGCTGGGGTAACTAACGTAATTCACGGCTGAGCAGAACACACGGTTGAACGGAACACCCCACCAAAATTGTGTCTCTCTCTCTACACCCTCTGCTTTTACCAGCAACCATGCTACCAAATCGCTCTGAATCGTGGCAGAAAGCTGCTAACTAAGAGGGCAGGATCCTATTAGCCCTCGAGGATATTAAAAAGGGCAATATTAAATCTCTATGCGTAGCAGTGAGGCTTTATAATCTACTGCTCTCAACGCTATATCGCTATACTACTGGTGTATCCTCTTACGTTGATAATATTTATAATCGGCAAAAACTTACTTAATTAGAAGAGGATTTACTTATTAAATAGGTCCTCTTAATAGATTTGTATAGAGTAGTGTCTAGGCTATCTACCGTATAAGAGATAGCGAATATTCTACTGGCTATATATGGCGAGACCCCCTTGCCTACAGTAGGTATAAATTAGGTATCAGCCTTTATTAAACGCCGTAATAAGCTTCAGTTATATAACTTAAAATACTATAACTACTAACATACCCTAAATAAAGATCCCTGGTCGATTTAAGCATAGTTTGAGACTATAAAGTATATTATCGATAAGAATAGTATATAAGTAGAGGATATCTATAACTTTGATAAGATAGGATTTATAATAGGCCTTATTTCAGTACAGAAGATAGTTATATAAGCTAAATACTACAGTTGGTAATCTATCTTATAGCCAGGAAATTATAAATAGGTTACTACTATCAAAGTAATCTATACAGATGGCTATTCACTACCGCTATATATAATCTTTAAAGACAAAGTTACTATTATAGGTTGGTTTAATAACCTACCAAAAGACTGGTAGTTTAAGGTCTTAAATAATAGCTAGACTACTGATAAGATAGGCCTTTACTGGCTATAGAAGTACTTTATCCCCTATATAAATTTATATATATAAGGTTAGTTTTAGCTACTGATTCTTAATGGTTATAGAAGCTATCTTATACCCTAATTTAACTAGATCTATACAGAAAATAATATTATTCTTCTTTATATACCTTTATATTTATTGTACCTACTATAACTACTTAATATTAGGTACTTTACAGTACTTAAGCGTGTATACAGTTACTTAATAAGTAATCTTATATATAGAGAATATAACTATATTAATAAGTTTGATTTCTTAGATAACTACTAATATATATAGCTAGAAACCTTCTAATAGCTAGCTATTATTTAGAATAGCTTTATAGCTAGTAGCCTAGTACTAGTTAATATAGAATAAATGCTTTTAAAGCTTAATATCTCTCTATAAACACCTATACTACTAAACAGCCGGCTAAGTAGCAGATCTAGCTAATTTATACCAAAAATACCCAGAACTATCGTTTAACTACAAAAGTAAGCTTTAATACTTAAAGATTTGCTAAAGTAGCGGTTAAATAGCCCTCCTAGCCTATCAAAGACTATACTAGATTAGATTATTAAGGGCTACTGTATAGCGCTATATAATACTGTACTACTAGCGTAAGAAAATACAAATCTATATACAGCAAATAAGAAAGTGGTTAAGAAGCATACTCAGTTAACTAAGCAGATACCCTACAAAGAGGGTTTAACTGTCAAAGAGAGCCTACAGCTACTTACACAGCTAGATTTACCAGCAGAAGCACCTACGGTAGATTCTAATATACAGGGCGAATTACCTATTCAGGTAGACCAACCAGTAAAGAGGGCTCTGCCTAGGTATAGTAGGTATAGGGAGATTAGCCACAGGATCAATTCATATAAAAATCGGTATATATAGCTGAATCGATAGGCGTTAGTTGAGATATCCTACTTCAAAAATTTGTAATGGGGGTGGGTGTTCCGTTCAACCGTGTGTTCCGCTCAGCCGTGAATTACGTTATTGGAAGCCGGATTATTAATGATCCAGTGCCTCAGGCGGTCAGGCATCTTTTCCAACCCCCCCGTCAACTAGAACCCGCTAAGCAATGTGCTAGCTCGAAAAGACCCGCCCTGATCATGAGGTCTTGTGTTAGAGACTAGGCCCGACATGGATAGATGTCTCTCGGCTCCAGGATAACTCGGCTTTTCAGTCTCCAAGCAGATAGGGGGTAGCATCCGACAAATTGAAGTCCTAACTACAGACTACTTTGCGTCACATTGTCCACAGGGACTACGGACTATAAGGAGAAACTAACCGAGCCACAGCTCAGGTTCGCATAGTCCCTATTCCAACTTTCTCAGGGTCACATCGTCCCTGCAGCCACCATCCGGGCCTAGTTAGTCTGGGGCTGGTGGCGCCTGGGGTGGCCCGTGTCACTGAGCTACATACCGGTCGGCCTTTCAAGTTTGCCCAAGTCTTTGCCGCTTCTTTCACCAGCTTATTTTTACCCTTGCTCTTTCTTTCTTCGTCTTTTAGTTCCAAACCAGGAGAGCGTTCTCTGCCTTGGTGTTCGAGTTTCTTTACGACGACATAGCACGATGAGACGAGTTTTGTCCACACTGGCTTGTTGCCTCCTTCACCCTCTAATCGCATCCGCGGAAGGGGACGCGATATACAATGCTTCTCTCCCATTTCGACCGAGCAATATCACAGGACTAAGTGACATCTATCTTTGGGTTGGAACGTATGTTGGTTTTATTCACCTATATCGCTGTTGCTAACTTTCGGGCGTAGGTATTACAATTCCACGACGAAGATAGAGTTTACGCCCGAGATCGGATCGACAACCAACAAATCTGTATGCAAAAGTCACCAGGGCCAAACATTTACTGCGGAATATGAGTCTTTACTCGCTATCACTGAGAGAGGCTCTTATAATCTGGGATCAAACTCGGTTAATACCCTCTTGGCCCTCTGGAACTCGGATGCAAACCTTACCTTGCTCTCCTCGGGGTCACCATGGGCCTCCTCATCCCTAGAATGGTATATCGAGTCAGCCCCGTAAGTCTGAATGTACCCTAAATTGAAGCGAGTGAATCCTTTCTGACTAATTCCAACCCTAAAAGTTGGGTGTATCACGCGAACAATGGCTCAACTAACAGCGATGCGGGTACTACTTCTTTCGTTAAAGATATCTTTAATTTGACCCTATCACCAGACACTAAAGGACCTCCCTACAAATTAACAGGGACCATTAAGGATGCAGACCTGATGCTGGGTAGTTTTGATATGGACCTTAAGTCCTGCAATACTTCTACTGAGACAAGCCAGAATCGTATGACACTTGTTGATCGTGATTGGTCTAATAATGCTGGTTGGACCTGGACATATCCCACTGTTGACTTTCAATTTGGTAGCCGAACGGCCAACTTCACTTTGGATGGATATGCCGCTGGGTTTCCATACTTGATCAATAGATCCGATCCCTCGAAGTCACTAGGTGCGGATGAGGTACAGGGGAAGATCAAGGTATCCTTCTTCGGGGTCATCGACTCTTATCACTCCGATACTTTGGTCAATAGCAGCTCAACACCCACTTGGCTTCGAACCGTTGGCTTTGGGAACAACTCTGCAAATATAGGCTATAACAATAGCTCTCTTGGCTCACCCCGTCCATTGCACAGGGGAGCTGTTGCAGTTTGCTCTGTTATTTCCTTGGCTTTACTGTATTTCTAATCATCCTCTGACGAATGTATTTATGAATATAATTAAGCATTTATCAAGACAATCTGTTCTAAACTTGTTTTCTTCATCCCAAAATTGGCTATCGCTCCCTATCTTGAGTAAAGACACTGAACTTTGTTGAACGTGATGTTCTCCAGGACGCCCTATCTTTAGAATATTGAATTCGACGGAACTATTTTGAATTTGACGTGAGATGAAAGGCATGGACATCTTTGGGCTAAATTTACTCGTCGAGGTAAGGTATTGATACTATATAAAACCGAATTAACTCTCGTTAAATATAGGTTCCAGAAGGTCAGATGCTGATCCATATCCGCAATTGCAACTGTCGGTAACGTGATGGTAGATCTGGTGTTTAAAACGGGCACTTTTTGTAAATACGATCAATATTGTCCATAGCATTCCAAAATTTCTGAACAATGATGCCCAAGCAATGAGTTGCCAGGGACGGTCTGCTTGAAAATTTGTATTGTCTTTTCATAATTAATGACCATAGTATACATTTTCTTTCTCCAAGAAGGATACTGTCTCATTCTCCAACGTAGCATTATTCTACCATATCAGCAAAACCGGCAAAGGTACTTACTCCCACCACTTGGATGAGAGGCCAGCGCGGATTTAGATGAAGATCTCAAGCCTATGTGGCCAAATGTCTATATTGGATCTATGTTGCTTGTTCTAAAGCTAGTTGTGATGGCAATCCGGTGATTAACATCCGTGGTGGCCCTAGCTCAACTGGCAGGTGTCCATGGCCCTGAAGTCGTGGTGGAATGGCTGCAGCCATGATACTGACTCATGCAAGGATATTTCTGTACACGGCAAGCCCTTGCATGCTACCAGAGAATACCTTGAAACCGCTAAGCAGCCAGAGGCTTGTTTTCAATGCTTCGCGAGTGAAAGGCTTCCGGACAAAGTTTGTTTTCAGATGTTCCATGATCCTGGATGTGTTACACGCCACTTTGATACCATCCATCTAAAGAAAGAGCCACTTAAGTGCAACTGGTGTGAAGTAGCCTTGCTACATTAAATGGCATTCCAGCGTCATGCTTTTGATGTGCATCGTGTGCGGAGTCGCCGGCGTTGCCTAAATCCGAAAGAAATTCAAGATATGACATAGTTGAGCAAGATTTAACGAGCCGCTATTCCCAGAGAAATTAACCAAGTAAACTCGAGTGTTCGATGCCAAACAAGAACTAATATAAATGACATTTTTCATCTTATTTTAATTACTTATCGGAGTCTGTTCCTTTAGAGAAGCTGTTTAGTATGGTAGGAAGATGGGAGCTCCAGTGGTGACGTACATCATATGCTGACTGACCGCCCATATACTCCCGACTACTATCAATCACCCTCTCGAGGGGTTTTTATCAAACATAAGAAGGAAAACAAATTGACATGCCACCTCAGAGAGATATTCGACTCCAACCGTATTCAGATGATCGTTAAACACGACATCATGGTAAGTAATGGAAGCATTTCAAAGAAAGATATAGCTAATCTTGCTCCTATATGCAGGAGTCTCTGGTAGAGAAGACTGGATCAAGGTTGCCCTTGGGAGTATTGAATACAAATTCAGTATGCTCCAGCTTAAGAGGAATAATTTAGCCAGCATGCTGCATTTCTATAGACGAGATAAGACCTATATCGAAGACTGTATTTAATACATAAAAGAGACAGCAAGACAGCGGAATGAGAGATTAACCTAAGAAATTGAAGAACTTATGGCTAAGCTTGCTGGTAATTAACTTGAGGTGGGAACGAATAGTAGGGTTTCTGGAATTAGTTGAAGTTGGATATAGGTTGTGAGGATGCTCAGATACTCACAGAGATCAACGTACGGCGTAGCATACGAAGCAAAGGAAGCAGTAGCGGTTCGACAAAAGTAATAGCTTGGGGAGAATAAGAAGGAAGCTAGGATAGAAGGCTAGATATACAGGTGTATGGTGTAGATACCTAGAGTAGTGCCATAGGCATAAGGCATCTACGAATGGTAACAACACTAGTTTGTTACATTATCTCCCTCCTAAAAAGGCAGCGTCCTGATGCTTTTTATTTATCCTTATCCTATTCTAGGGAGTTAACATCTATCTTATCACCGTTACTATTACTACTACTGTCAGTATGACTATTACCAGGGCTATAGCCGTTACCAGACTTAGTCAAATTAGCTATACTAGAGGGATAATTATAACCAGTATAGCTTATAAGTTATTAAATAGTTTAAATAAATTCAGTATAGATATAAGGGAGGTTAAGCTGTTGATTTAACTAGTTATAAATATTATTATTATTAAGACCCTTACAGAAGATTAAGATCTTAGTAACGTTAGGCCAATCCTAGCCTTAGGCTTTATAGAGAATTTATTTAAATTTAGCTATAAAAGCTATAACAGAATTAGTATCTTGTTAGAGATTAAGAAGGTAATCTTTAGCTTCTTAGACCTTATTTAGGTTATTAAAAACTTATATAAGCTGATTAAGGATAGTATTGTAGTTAAACTTACAGAAAGATTAGGTATAAATAAGTTATAGAAGGACTATAGCTTAAACTTAACTAAGATACTAGCAAATTTCTTAGGATCTAGAAGTAGGGGTTTTAGACACTAAAGAGGTTAAGAAGCTTAAGTAAGGAGCTAGGAATAAGCTTAGAGAAGATTAGCTTATACCTACTATTCTTAGTAGATTAATTAAAACTAGTCTTAGAGTAAGCTAATCTAAGTATTTTACTGCTGAACTAAGGATTAGAGAGTATTAATTAAGGACTAAAGTCTGCTAAGTATAGTATAGAGCTAATTAAGGTTAAAATCTGTATTAAAGAGGATAGAAAAAGATAAAAAATTAATAGAATTAATAAAAAGTAACGATATCTAGATAATAACAATATAGCAGCAAAGTAATAAAAGTAAGGTTTTAAAAGCAGAGGAGTAGAGGATTCTCTACTACAGCTAAGGATAAATATATACAGTATATTTATATATATATAAGACTTATATAGTCTTTCTGAGATAAACTAACAGAGGAGTTACTAGGATCTTTTATACTTAGCTTATTAAGGTAATTATATTAGGGTATACATGTATAGTACTCTAGGTTTTAAGTATCAGAAGCTATTATAATATTAGGATACTCAGATACTTATAGAGATCAACGTACGGTATAGTATATAAAGCAAAGAAAGCAGTAGCGGTTCAACAAGAGTAATAGCTTAAGGAGAATAAGAAGGAAGCTAGGATAGAAGGCTAGATACATAGGTGTATAGCGTTGATGCCTAGAGTGGTGCTGTAGGCATAAGGCATCCACGAATGGTAACAACACCAGTTTGTTATATAGGTCCGGAAATTGTCTGCTCTCTTATAAACCGAGGTAAGGACTTGCTCGGGCCCTAAATACAAGCCTATTAGGTGCTGTAGATATTGATATTTACTAGAAAAAGCTACAGTGAATAGTCAATGTGTATAAAGTCAGATATAAGTGCTTAGATCTTAATAGCTCCTATTCTTTTTTATTTGAATAGGCCTGGCATTGAGTCTTTTGTTTATTATTTACTTATATCTAAGCTTATATCTGGGCCTCCCTTAATCAATTTATATAGGCATTTTCCTAACTCTCCTCTAACTTAAAATTTCTCACTAATAATTAAATATTCCTATAATTCTATAGACTGCTCCTAGTATAAGATAATCTTAGATATCCTGACTTCCTTAGTATTAATATAAGCTTTATAAATAATATCATAGTAGTAATCTAGATAGAGTAGCCAAAGATAGCCTGTAGTAATAGCTATAAGAAAAGGTTTAGTAATACTATACTGCTATTGTTATATATATTATATGCTAGGTTAATATCCAGAGCCTCTTCTGTATAGATCCTATTAATTAAAGTCTCTATAGATAGCTATTTAGTATAAGATATAAAGTCAGATATAAAAAGCTCTAAAAATAGATATATTAGGTTAAAGACCTACTAAAAAAAGGATTAATCTGATTCTCTATAAGTATATAGGGTTTCCTAGTTATCTTTATAGAGAAACTAAATAATATCTAGTAAATATATATTAACTATTAAGCCTTAAATAATCTAACTACTAAGAATAGTTACCTATTACTATAAATATAGAATCTCTTAGACTATATTAGAATAGTAAAGTTTCTAACTAAGATTTACCTTATAGTCAGATATTAGTTGATTTAAATAGAGCAGAACTTAGTTAAAAAATGGCTCTTAATATAATATAGGGAAAATATAAGTAGCTTACTATATTCTTTAGCCTATATAATACTTAAGTAATATTCTGGATAACTATAAATAAGATATTATATCTATTTCTAGAAAAGTTTACTATTATCTATCTTAATAATATCCTAATCTACTTAGATATACTAAAGAAGTATTATAGATATCTTAATAAGGTTCTAGAGATAAGAAAAAGTAATTAATTATTTAGCCTATAAAATACTTAATTATAGTAGAATTAGAATTCTATAGCTATATTATTAGAAATAGACAGATTTATCTAGTACTAAGGAAGATTAAAATTAGTTAAATCTAGCTATACCTAAGAAATATTTATAAAGTTTACTAGTTTATTAGCTTAGCTATTTATTACTGAAGGTTTATTTATAGATATATATAAATTTATATATCTCTTTATAAACTATTTAAAGAAATAGATATAGATCTATAAAAGAAGAAGTTTAGGCCTATTATTTAGATAAATATATATAAAAGTATCTTTTAAATACTTAGAAATATATTAGTTAATATCCCTAAGGCTAATTATAGTAAGCAATTTATTATTAAAACTAATATATCTAAATAAGTAATTAGGATAGTATTACTTTAGCTAGATAAAGATAGGATTCTATACCCTATTATCTTTAATAGCTAGAAACTAATAAGTATAGAACTAAACTATCCTATTTATAAGAAGAAATTTCTTACTACTAAAGAGGCTCTCTAAAAATAGGATTAATATATTAAGAATAGTATAA